TTCTCTCTCCAGTTATCCTTGCTAGTCCCTCTGAATTTCCAGGAGTTGCAAATAAATATATTTCTGCCTCTGTGCAAAACTTGCCACTTTATTCAGAACCTTTTCCATTTTCTGCTGACTTTGAGTAACAAATGTTCCAGATATTTTATTTTAATATGACCTTAACTTCCTACTGCAACATGATGTAAAATTTAGAAAGTTCCAGGTTGGACTGTGATCTGTTCAGAATGCAAAGACAAATAAGTTATGTCCTTTTCTCCTCCAAACAGTAACTGTATTTTTTAAACCTTTTCAGGAAATAGTTATGTAAACCTAATCACACAAAGTCAGGCGCAGGAAACTTGTAGCCACTCAGATAGGCTAAGCTACAAGGTCTAGCAGCTTCTAACAGCATGATCACGAGGGAAGGATTTAGAAGCCAAGTTCCTCAGTTCTTATATAGGCCTTTCTTCACATATCTTGGTTCTTATAAAGTTCTTATAAAGCACTTGTCATTTTAATTTCCCTTTTGTTTAAACTGGGGTGGTCAGAGAAGTTTAAACTATTCCAAGCAGCTATATCCATTTCCTTCTTCATCCTAGGTCTCTTGGATGCTCTCAGAAAACCCTAATAATGAAATTATTCTCCCATGTGCTGGGAAAGTCTCTGACACACAAACTAGGAAAGAATAGGAAGATGAGAACACAACAATTTTTTTCATTTTTTTATGCTTTTAATGGAACACCCAAGAAACACATAAGGCATATGGTAACAGTAGGCAGACTAGCAATTTCATGTCTGAATCTGTAGACAGCATCGGCACATTTGCTTTGTTGATACACACGTACACACAGGCACACACGCAGGCACAGGCGCAAGCAGAAGAGGACTTCTTTTCAAACACCACAAAGACTTGAAAAAGCATCTTGAACCATAAAGACACAAAAGCTGTTTGTGGACCAACCAAAGCAGCAGGGGTGGGCAGGTGCTGTCACCAGGTGTGAGGGGACCATGCAGCCTGCCCTCACTGCAAACAGCTTTTCTTCATCAGTATCTCCCTAGCATGGGGGAATCTATTTGGCAACAGTGGTGATTCCACAGCTGGCTCTGCAGGGCCAGGATATCCACTGCTTGTCATTCAACCCTACATCACACTAAAACAATCATGCAAATAAAACAGGCCTGCCTTGACAAAGGGAGAGCTTTTCCTGCCCCTGTAAGACCCACAATTACCTTGGCTTTAGCCTTCATCACTCACATCTCTCCCAGTGGTAATTAAATACTCTTTTTGGGATTTGGTGAGCCATGCCTAACAAAATGCCACATGTCCACTTTGAAAACAAAAAGAAAACTTAATTAATTATAATGGAGAGAAAATATTTTAAACGTTTTTATATCACAAATTTAAAACTAAAAATAATAAAACAAATTTTAAAGAATTTTAAATTTTAATTTTAAACAAATAAAAAATGGTTTAGTTATGAACTTAGAATTCTGAAATGTTTAAATCTGAAGGACAGTTGAACTCAGTCATCCTGATAATCAAAGACAAGAATGGGTCTACAAAAGGAATGTAAAGCTTGTTATTTTACATTCTGTGTATTTTACTCTATTGCTTTTTTCCCCAAAAGATAACTGACTTCCTTGGTTTCTCGGATGAGAAGTGAAACATTTTCAAAGAAAAAAACCAAGAAAGTCCAGTTGCCTTTTGGGGGGAAAAAGCACCTTTGGGACAATCATGACCTGGATGACTGAGAATCTCCATAGACATCTTTGAGTGATCTTCTACCCACATACTATGCTATCTGTGGTTGAGAACATTATAAAAAATCAGAGAGAGATTTCATTCATTGAAGAAGTACTTTTAAATCTCTCTAAAGACAGCTCCAATGTTAACTTTGGCACACTGCAAATCATTTCCCTGAGGGAGCTTTGCCTCTTTTATTTCTTTATTTGAGGAGGTCCCTAAATAAGGTGAGCTGGTATTAACTGCCAGATCAAGTTGTGGGAGTTGTTGTGTAAGAGGACTGCTGTTCATTCCACTAAGGACCCACTTCAGCCCTATGAAACAGGCTTTTCAAAATATACTCTTTGGGCCTTCAATAGTGTTCAGGCTACATGTTGCTCACTGAGCAGGAAATATGGCACTTTTTTTCCAATTAAACTGCTCTATCAACCCTACATCAATGGCAATCTAGGCCATGGAGTTTTGTGATAAAATCTTGAACTATCCTGAACTCTGCAAGAACAAGTATCAATAAAGGATTCTTGTGATAAATGTCCTTGTATTTGTTTTATGGACAACATTTATCACAATAGAAAATATCCTATTTCTCCTCTCACACATCCGCCCCCCGCACATTTTTAACTTTGAAGTTAAGCACACTGTTTTAACTAGTTAAGACAAGTGATTTTCATTTTAAAGTGAGGGAGAGGTGGTCAAAGGCTTTACTATTACAAAAGGCTCATAAAATAATTGTCTGAAATACATACATGGGTGCACTTCACATAGACACACGCAGTCAAGCTGCAAAATAAGAGAGATGATAAAAATTTCAAGATTACAGTATTAATCAGCAAGGCAACGAAGAGTGTAGTTATAGTGCTTTAAAATTTGATGTTTTCTGTATAAAAGAACTACAGCTGAGTAGTAGCAAGACAAATCTATTTTAGCACAAAGATAAAGATCTCTTCTGTTCCGGAAGAACATTTAAAAACTGTCAGATTCCAGCATGAGAGAGCAAGGTTGCAGGAAGGGAGCAGGACTTCGCTTGCTGCTGCTTTGGGTTAAAAACAGTTTTCCCTCTGTGGTGCCTTTGGGAATACATGGAAAGCTGTACTTAGCCCACCTCTTCCCAAAGGCACTACAGGGAAGAGTCGGTTCTCTCTCAACCTATGGGAAGCTCCACAAATTATACTATTAACAGAATTCAGATTCTCCGTATTTATTATGTGACAGAGGTTCATTAAGCTTCATCTACTCAATTTAAAATAAGGTTCAGAAGTGCTGGTCAGGAGACTTGAACCACACTTTCACAATACTATGCAAAAAATATCTGATGGCTCTCATAAAGAAGGATGGATATATCTAGGAGAATTCATTCTATCTGTTAATAATAACATCAAAATTTATGCATTTCTGTAACAACTCATCCTATTATGTAAGTGTCCTCATTGATTAAGGAACAGAAGCCATACATACATTTCAAACTGTTTCCTTGGGATGGGGCATTCTTTTTTAACAAGTCAACATTGGCAAAGGCTTCTTAAATTAGACCTTACTCACTGTTTGGAACAAGGCACAATAAATTGGGAATAACAATGCAGCATAGAAGTTCTTTTAAAGGCAAGGCTATTCCTTGCAGTTTTACAATGATGAGGTTAGAAATGTTTTGGAATGCCATCCCAAATAAGGCACCGGCAGCAGCAAGAAGGAAGGCATGAGAGAGAAAAAAATCCAACAACTAAACCCACAAAATTTTACAATAGATTCTCTCCCCACCCCACCCTTTTCCCCCATTATTTCGTAAACGCTTGGGAGACCACAGCTGATCATGCAAGACTTTTTTTCCGCTTGTTGTGCTTAAAACAACAGAAAACCGGAAACTCATTTTCTCTTTTGATCATACAATTGGGATCTGTAAACTCCTGTTGGCCTATAATCTTAAGACCAGAAGTTTAAAAAATTGCACCTTGGTAGGTCCTAGGAAATGGTAAAAAATATCAAGAGATATGAGGATATATGTATAAAATAAGTGGCAGAGGAAAGGCCACATCAGATAATTAGAGCTACAGCTTTATGCTCTAGGCTAGTCTCCAATATCTATTGAATCTCCTGCATATCAGATCAGATCTCTGCATTTTCCCCTTCTGATGCCCTTTAGATATGGAACCTGGAAATTCCCTCGGCTGGAAATGCTGAAAGTTGAAGTTCAATATCTCTGAAGGCCTTCAAACTAGAAAAGTTGCATTTGATGAGTCTCATGACTAGCCAGCTGTCCTTCCATAAGGTATGAAAATTCTAGGAATCTGCCTTACACTACATTAAACTATTAAAAACCATTGAAAGTTCTTGGGCCAACTCTCCTAACTTTATCTAGCATGGCTTGGATTTGGAATTACCTACACAAGAATTATGTGCTCTAGCATTGAGCATTGGCTCCTTGAAGGAACTGACCTTTTGGTTCCTCCCAGTTCGGGGATCCCATGAGTTAATTGGTATTCTGTACAGTATTATATTTCAGTAAGAACATGGCAGATTAAATAATGTTTAAAAATGCTTGGTAGCCATTGATTGAGCTTATAGAAATGATGTACTTACCAATTTCAAAACATTAATATATAAAAAATAATGAAAGGAATGATCCACAGCAAGAATAATCATTTCCAGAACTTCCATCTTTTGCTTAGAACTATCCAATGGATGTCTGGCATTCCAAGCCAGATTTTTTTCCACAGTGATTGCACTAGATGCCTCCTTTCTTGTGTTCCTCATTATAATGGCTAACAGGGTTGTATAAGGAAGACAGCTGTCTTAAAATAGCCTTCTCAAGTTGAAGTTTTACAAATATATTGTCTTATTGTTTCCATAATCACAAGATGGCAACTAATTCCGCAATTGGATGTTTGAGAAAGAAGAGAAAATATTTATATTACATTGAAAGTTACAAGGTTCCATTTCATTTGCTTTTTTTAATGAATCTCCCTCCCTCCCTCCTCATGCAGTACTAAGGATTGAAAAGCTTCCTGCAAGAATTGTGAAAGTGTTCTGTTCACAAAACAGACATGCTAAATAAACACAGGCCTGCAAAAGATTGTAAGCCGAGGATCCCCCTAAGTAACATGAATAATCAAGGGCTGATGGGCTAAAAGGACATCAAAGATGGTTTCCATTCTCACGAATATGTTAATAAAGCAGAATATTTGTAGCTCAGGGTTGAAATGCGGGGCGATTCCTTACCCTAACTAGGTAACATTATCAGTGCTAGCTTACCTAGTTAAGGTAATGAAACATTTGCAAGAAAACAGGCAAGCTCAGAAAGCACCAAGGACCCCTCACAAATATATATTTTGTGTGGGGATTGAAGGTGGTCTCAACATTTTCATAGATGGCTTTCAGATAGGTGAAAGAAAAAGAATTGCCAGAAAGAAAAATGCTTAACTGATACAATCTACTGAAAATATTTTTTCCTAGGCCAATAAGAGACAGAATATTAAATTTATGATTTTTTTTCTGCTATAACTAATTGAGAATCAAAAGAACACTTTGAGGAAGCAACTTGGGACCCTTGTCTTTTCTTGGATATTTTGTTTACTGGAATATGAAGGATAATAGCTTCACCCAAAGCAGATTGGCAAAACTCCTGGAAAGAGAAGGAACTTTAGAAATGGGTAATTCAAAGTGCTGAGAAATACTCTGAGGATCAAATTCCTAAAATAGCAAAACTATTTACTGACATACATACACAAAAACCCTCTGAAGATTTTCAAGGAAGAGCTTTCAGAAATGGTGGTGAATGAAAAAGGATCAGACAAACTTAATCTGTTCAACAACAAAAAAGATCTTCAGCAGAAATAGTTCCAGATATGTGACCAATTGATTTTTTTTCAAGTCAAGTCAGAATCTTACAAATGTAAAAATCTGTTACTATTTCCTGCCCAATCTGTTTCTTGTACAGAATTGGTCCTGTTGCCCTTCCTCTACAGCATAAAAATATTAAGAGAATATTTAATTTGCAGCGAGTCTTTATCATAAACTAGGTTCATCCTTACTGTAACTTGTAAATCACAGTCACAATGCACATCTAAATATTTTGGGTCTTGAAGTTAAACAGTTGTAAGAGGGAATAATGTTATTAAAGTATTTCTCCTATCTTTGACTGAGAACATCTATTTTTTTATATATAGTTAATCCTTAGAACAGCTTGATATCAAGCCACAAGCCAGAGATGACAAACATGAAATTACTATTTTGAGATTACAGACTAGTCAGCTGTTTAGTACTGTTAAATAAATGTCTGTCTACATAACCCATTTTAAATGGAAACAGTCAGTACTTCTCTCTAAAACAAGCCATACTTGGAGTCTTGCAGTTTCTTTACTGGCAATTCCTTAATTTTTCATACTTGCATTCTCCATAGTAGATTTTGGCAAAAAAAGAAGAAGATATATGAGCTTTGCCTAGATAGCACAGAGGACTTTCATATTGCAGGAAGCAATGGTAGCTTTGTTGCACTAAGGTAAATGAATACCCCAGAGGCAAAAAATTCTTCCTCACATCTCCTTCCAGCTGCAAAGATATCTAGTGTGTTCTGTTTGTTAAATGTGCCCTTCCAAAGTAGCAGATTCAAAGATTTGTTTCTATGGAAACTGTCAACTGCCAATAGCTGCTAAAACCATGGGTGTTTTACAATCTCTAAACTTAAACTAATCATTAAGTATTCAGAGGTGAGCTAAGGATGGCTAAGGACAGAAGATGTCATTGAGACAAATAACATATCTAGGAATTTTTGAACAGTGTGTTCAAAAATTTAAGATCAAGAAATCAAAGGCGTTGCCAATGGATAGGTTTTGCCTTGTATGCTTTTCACTTCAGATAATTCTCTATATGGTTCCTTTAAGAGCAAAATATCAAGATTGCAAAAGAAGTGCTGGATTTCTTTTTTTAAAGTAGACCAACCAATAATTTCACAGGGATGTGGCAATCTTTTAAGTTCCACTCTGTAAAGATTTTATGAAACTCAGAAGCTTGCCTCAACTTTAAACGGCCAACTAACCACAAGAAAAGACTTTTTTTCCCTCAGTCCTGATGTCACTTATTCCATTAACAGCAGTGAGAGACCTCTCCAATTCTACTTCCCTCAGGGGTCAGATGTGGGGGGGGGGGGGGGAGGCAGTTAAAAAAAAGTCCCCCAAAATCAACCTGAGGTCAAATAGTTCACCCATGCCCCTTGCTTTAATTCTCTATTTTCTTGTTTTCATCTTTCGGTGGAGCTTCAGGAACCAAGACAACTTTCCCAACATTCTTCTTCTCTTGCATCTGCTTCATGGCATCAACCACCTGCATCAGAAGAAGAACCACACCATTTCATCATCCCTTCTGCCTCAAGAAATATGACTAAGGAGAATGCATCCAAGACTATGTTGGATCAGCTCCATCTGGTTCCATGTGGGGAGAAAAAGACACTGAATACATGGAGGCTGATTGGAAAGATGGTTTACTGATGGACAGGACCAGATGGGCGTGAAGTCCTGGACAGCTGACCACATGGTGTTGTGACAGAGAGGTATTTATACCTTCTCTTGGGCCTTGCCCTTGAACTTCCTGTTCAAGAAATATATTCTATTGGTTGACAGACTTCCAGGGGTCTGGGAGTCATAGCTAACTTTTAGGTTGTGTGAATTTAGTTTGATTGAAGCCTGGACTCTCTGAGATGATGTAATGTGATTTGTGTCCTGAAAGGGTGTTGGGCCATTCCTATTCTGTCTTAATGGCTTTCCGGGTTTGGATCTTGAGTGAGGGCTGATCCTACCATCCTTCCTAATTCTGTCTTTGTTCAAAATAACCTGTCTTGAATGGATTACTAACTCTGCATTTCTAAAAGCTGGCCTCAGCTTAGTATCTGCTTAGGGGCAGGGAATTGTGGCTCTGAGTTTCTGTCCTTAGAAACATGTTTCTCCTTTAGGGAAAATATAATATTCTATCTTTTTAATATTTCTTAAAATATTTCATTCTTCTGGGAGGGGAGTGGCTTCCCACAGATATATATCAAACTTCCCCAAATTGGTGCATTCTAAATTAACTATAGTCATCATTCTTTTTTAAATATATACTCACTGCTCACTAAGGTCACACGTGACATGGAGTTTGTTTTTGGTAGTATCTGCCTTGAAAGAGAAGCATGTACACGTGAGAGAGGGAGTGTTGATCAAATGACTCTTGCTTGCTTATTCACTTTTTAAAATACTTCCTGTCATCAGAAGGCCAAATGTAAAATAAAGGATTTACACAAACTTTAACACAACGTTGCCTTTTATACTTTCTTTTCATTGTCTTTGCCCTTGAAAAGTCTGCCAGAGTTTTTTTTTATGAATCTGCCTTCCTCCAAGCATTTAAAAGGCCAACCAAATGAATGTGATCTATATAGTGTACATTCAACTTTCACTATTATAAGAGTATGGCAGATGGCCAGCAGATATCTAAGATTCTGAAATCACTCCTTATCCCCACTCCTTTTGGGGATAATTGCTAGAGTTGAAGTCTGTAATAATGTCAGTTCTTTGGAGGGGAATAAATTAAGCTAAAGGCAGAATTTTTTTTTATTGTGGAACACAAAATAACTCATTGGGAGGCCAAACATTCTCACCTGTTCAAAGGGCCAAACAGAATCCACCTTTGGTTTGATTTTGCCCTGATTGTAGAGAGCAATTAACTTGGTCACCACAGCAGTTAAAAGCTCCACTTCCTCCTCAAGGTAACCCAAGTGATAGCCAGAAACTGCTTTGTTGAGATGAAGCAGCTGCAAGGCATTGATGCTAAACTGATTCCACCAGGTCTTTGCCATAGCCATCAGGTTCTTCCTCTGTCCTGTTAGCAAGTTGGCTACACCTACGAAATTGAGAAATACCCTGTCTTGAGATCCATCATTATAATAACTCTGGCAATTATGCCTGGAAAAATCAAGATGGCCAATGATGTATTAACCATTAAGCAGACTAAGTACGTGTTTAGGGCACCAGGCCCAAAAGGGGCACCAGAAAGTTGAGAATATGGCTTCGTTTTTACTGTATGTACAAAGTGGGGTACCAAGATTTGTCAGTGCTAAGGGCACTAGTGAGCCTTCATCCGCCACTGAAGATGGCTTTTTCTTTGAATGCAAAGTACTGCAGCTCAGGCTATAATTCTCATTCCAAAACTGCATTCTTGTATCAGGAATTTACGCTCCTTTTAATTTAAGTGTCTGCAAGAAGATGAGGACATTCTAGGCTACACCATTATGCCAGTCCAACTCAACCTACCCCTGCTTTCTGTAAAAGGAAAGTATTTCTATGTCAATAGCAGAGTAATAGCTTTCAAGGTTGGGATTTGGGGAAAGGTTTTCCTTTCCAAAAGTGTGTCTGTATGCACACACACACACTTTTGTTTAATGGTTAAGGAACCAGGTTAGAAACCAGGAGACTGTGAGTTCTACTCCCACCTTAGGCATGAAAGCCAGCAGAATAGCTTTTGGCTATTTGCTTTATCTCAGCCCAACCACCAATCACAGGGTTGTTGTTGTGGAGCAAATAGGAGGAGGAAGCTATGTTGGATATATTCAGCACCTTGAGTTTTTTGTAAAAAAATAAATAAAGACAGGATTTAAAAAAATCTAAAGAGAACAAATTTCACTAAGGCATCCAGCTAACTACTATTAGAGCTTCGGTTTGATCCAGAAAAAACAGACCTCTTGTAATATTACTTTTTGTTTGACTTTCAGAGAATGATTCTTGACTGCAAAGTGATCTCATTTAGGCACTCTTATTCTCAAATTCCAGATCTGATCTTTGGGATTTAGAAGATTTGGAGACTCAACTTCTGATGAATTCCAAGCATCCTTTGATGGAATGCTTTCTGACTCACCATAACTGACTAGTTTGCCCATTGGTTTCAGGAGATGAAAGCCTTTTGTGGTATCTGAACCTCCTAAGGGGTCCAAAACAACATCTACACCTAAAAGGAAAAGGGGAAAGAAAACAAGTTTTTAATGGAAAATTTCAATTGAAAGGAAATAAAATTTCCCATGTGGCATTTTCAGTTTAACCAGGTTTCAGTAATTTTAATTTCAGTTACTTTTAATTTTATTGTTAAGTTTTGGTTAAAAAAATTAAATAAATCAATCTCCAATATAAACTAATAATTTATTCAAATATATGATTCAGTCAGCCATAAATCTATAAGCAGAACATCCATAACATTTTCTCATACTCTCTTTATTTTTACTATACGTCTACCAATAAACCTACGGGTGCCGGTTATGATTTCAATTTTTCCTTTTTTTCTTTCATTATAATAAGTTCAAGAAAAAAGGAAAACAAATAACGCTGATACAAATGCTGATTTAAAAGAGTGTAGGGATTAGAGATATGAAGGGAAAACCAATATAAACATTAAAATATGGATTAATAAAATTTGAATAACTAACTATTATGGCTAATATATTCTAATGCACCATTAACAACTTTACAGTAATGTAAGAAATTTGATATGCCATTTCTAGCTAAAACATGTCCCTACTGAAGTGTTAAAATATGTAACAGGGAAAACTGAAACCATGACAGGAAAAAGAAAAATTATATGTAAACATACAATAGAAAAATATTATAAATAATGTATAGAGCAGATTACATATCAGATTGAAATATAAACTCTATAATCCAGATTTGCCACAACTCTACGTATAGAATTGTAATCCAAAAAGTGTTTCCAAATAAGACTGAATTATATCTAAGATTAGATATGAAGTCATTCTAGACATCAAAGCATATTCATACTGTTTAGTTAACTATTCTTACACAGAGGGAACAAATCTAGTACCACTTGGATCTTAAGGTTTGCTCCCAGTTTGATATATTTTTGTTAGTCCTGATAAAGGTATGAGCAGATTTCAGAATCAATCCACTAATCTCCATCCGTGAAAAATTAATTTAGATTGATAGCTCTTCAAAGCACCACCAACTCAAGTTATTTATTTAACCTGATTAAAAAGGTGGCCCTGATTAAGCTGGGCTGGAATTATAATAAAAGTACATAAAATAATATATGGGCTGCCAACTTTGGAGAGCAACATTTCCCTGAAAGAGAGAGAGTTTCTTTTAAGAACCTGAAGTGACACATCAATCCCATTATCACCATCACCACCTGATAATTCTGTTTGACATTTTTCTGCACATTTCAGCTGATTTGTTTCATTTCAATTCATACGATTAGTCATGCTCTGCAAGTTAAACTTAAAACTCTAAATAATAAATTGAAATTATGCCAGTATATCAAGCACCTTCTTTTCAGCTCCCATAATACTTGAGTGTCCCAAGCAGGAGCACAGAAAATGAAGGAAATTTCAGATTGTCTTGCTCCACTCCATCCCTTTCTTCAGCCTCTACTAACCTTTGGGAGAAATTTTCCGGACTTCAGCCACATAATCAGCTGCCCGGTAATCAATCGGGTGAGTCACCCCATTTTCTTTGAGGGCCTCATGCTTGGAGGCAGATGCTGTGCCAAAAATGGTGACATTTTCCACAGTTTTACAGAGCTGGACGGCTGCAGTTCCCACACCACCTAGAGAGAGAGAAAAATGGGTCAAGTGAGTAATGAAAAAGGCCTGCAAGCCAAAAAAATGCAAAGTTTTCCATTCATTAAAGGAGTCAACATGGGTTATCCCCACTAAATTTACATGTTTCCACATAACTTAATCAAAGTTAAATCAGTGGAAGAAGTTCTCAGTAGTGCCATAAAATGAGCAAAGCATGAAGACAGTGTTAACTCAAGGAAAAGGTATTTGATGCTGTTTAATGGTCTTGACTATCTCCCCACTATACTCCCTGACAGCTGGATAAATTGTGAGTGATTAGAACTTTTTGGAATAAGGACAAACATCCAGCTGCTATTGGATCAATCTCACATCATTTCTGACCTGTTTGGCTATACAATTGGTGCAGTGCAAAAAAATCTTTGATTTTTAATTTCTCTATCCCTGCTTTACAGTATTATATTGTAGTTCAGAGTTTGGGAGCAGAAAAAAATAACATATAACATGTTATATTCTTATATGACATATAGCAAACAGGGTGGCTGTATTTGCATAACAAATTAAAGCAAGAAGAGGCAACTTTGTGGGCTGGTAACATACCTGGAACTTGCCTGAGGTCCACTCATACAGATGAAACTTGAAAAATTAGAATATCGTGCAAAAGTTCATTTATTTCAGTAATGCAACTTAAAAGGTGAAACTAATATATGAGATAGACTCATTACATGCAAAGCAAGATAGTTCAAGCCATGATTTGTCATAATTGTGGTGATTATGGCTTACAGCTCATGAAAATCCCAAATCCACAATCTCAGAAAATTAGAATATTACATGCAATCAATAAAACAAGGATTGTACATAGAACGCTATCGGACCTCTAAAAAGTATAAGCATGTATATGTACTCTGTACTTGGTTTGGGCCCCTTTTGCAGCAATTACTGCCTCAATGCGGCGTGGCATGGAAGCTCTCAGACTGTGGCACTGCTGAGGTGTTAAGGAAGACCAGGATACTTCAATAGCGGCCTTCAGCTCTTCTGCATTGTTCGGTCTCATGTCTCTCATCTTTCTCTTGGCAATGCCCCATAGATTGTCTATGGGGTTCAGGTCAGGCGAGTTTGCTGGCCAATCAAGCACAGTAATCCCACAGTCATTGAACCAGGATTAAGTGCTTTTGGCAGTGTGGGCAAGTGCCAAGTCCTGCTGGAAAATGAAGTCAGCATCCCCATAAAGCTCGTCTGTGGAAGGAAGCATGAAGTACTCCAAAATCTCCTGGTAGACGGCTGCGTTTACCCTGGACTTAATGAAGCACAGTGGACCAACACCAGCAGATGACATGGCTCCCCAAATCAACACAGACTGTGGAAACTTCACACTGGACTTCAAGCATCTTGCAGTGTGTGCCTCTCCATTCTTCCTCCAGACTCTGGGTCCTTGGTTTCCCAATGAGATGCAAAAGTTACTTTCATCAGAAAAGAGGACTTTGGACCACTGAGAAACAGACCAGGTCTGTTTTTCTTTAGCACAGGTAAGACGCTTCTGACGTTTAGGAGCGGCTTGACAAGAGGAATACGACATTTGAAGCCCATGTCCAGGATCCGTCTGTGTGTGGTGGCTCTTGATGCACTGACTCCAGCCTCAGTCCACTCCTTGTGAAAGTCCCCAACACTTTTGAATGGCCTTTTCCTGACAATCCTCTCCAGGCTGCGGTCATCCCTGCTGCTTGTGCACCTTTTTCTTCCACACTTTCCCCTTCCACATAACTTTCTATTAATGTGCTTTGATACAGCACTTTGGGAACTTCCAACTTCTTTTGCAATTACCTTTTGAGGCTTTCCCTCCTTATGGAGGGTGTCAATGATGGTTTTCTGCATAACTGTCAGATCAGCATGATTGTGATTCCTACTGAACCAGACTGAGAGACCATTTAAAGGCTCAGGAACCCTTTGCAGGTGTTATGGCTTAATTAGCTGATTAGAGTGGGACACTTTTAACTTGGAATATTGAACCTTTTCACGATATTCTAATTTTCTGTGATTGTGGATTTGGGGTTTTCATGAGCTGTAAGCCATAATCATCTCAATTATGACACATCACGGCTTGAACTATCTTGCTTTGCATGTAATGAGTCTATCTCATATATTAGGTTCACCTTTTAAGTTGCATTACTGAAATAAATGAACTTTTGCACGATATTCTAATTTTCCAAGTTTCACCTGTAAATAGCTGCTTATGGTAGGCTTAGCCAATCATAATACATTAAGCTATTCTTTCCCATAAGTATAAACACAGCGGCTGGTGTTTTTGTTTGCAGTATATCAGATTCCATTAAAAATAATAAAGGAATCTTTATTAAAAATAGTCCAAATCAGGGGGCCTAATGTACACCAAGAGAAGATATCAAAAAGTTTTTCTCTATGCCATGATTTGCTTAATTAACCCAATAGCCAGGTTCTCACAATATACTGAATTGTTAACTAACCATAGTGGCTATGGGCTAACCACAAACTATCCAACCATGTACTAATTTTGTGTCATGCAATATTATAAATCCCATGATTGTGCCTTATAAACTTCCCCCTCATAACATTATGTAGAAACAGGCCATTATGGTATGTTCAACAAGCCAAAGTTAAAAGAAACTATATCTCAGAACGAGTAGCAATGTTTCTGTGACCATTGGCCATATGCCACATTCTTTGTCAGGTTGAGAACACAGTACACATATGAGTGATGCTAGGTGTATAGAGGTTTTTTTAAATATTAAATGACCTTTGTAAGATGGGTATCAGTTTTCATATATGTTTCTATCTCAAAATAGGATGAAACGTTGCCATCAGTTTTTACCCATTATACACACAGAAAATGTTTAGGGGGAAATTGCTATAAGGATTCAAAGTTTCCATTCCAACTTAACAGCGTTATGAACCCAATTTATGGCTGGGGGAAAATAGTTTTCCAATCCCCCTTCCCCATGAAATTTATGATGGCTTGACTTTATACAGGTAGTCCTCGACTTACAACTACTACTGGGACCAGAATTTCCACTGTTAAGCATGCCCAGTATTATGATCTTTTCTGCCATGATTGCTAAGTGAATTCCCGCAGTTGTTAAGTGGATCGTGTGGTCATTCCGCTTCCACCATTGACTGGACTTGTCAGAAGCCGGCCAGGGAGGTCACAAATAAAAGTGACATAATCCAGAGGATCCCACACCTGTCATAAATACATGCTATATATCAAGCACCCAAATTTTGATCACATAACCACGGTGATGCTGTAATAATCATAAGTGCAAGACCTGATTGTCACAGTTTTTCAATGCCATTATAACTTCAAAGTCACTAAATGAATAGTTTTAAGTCAAGGACTATCTGTAGATTATATATACGCTTGATTTTTAAACCATGTTTAGTAAGTAAGCCATAAGTAGCTGGTACATAGAGCATTCTAAGTCATAAACCATAATATAAAAACCACAAAAACTGAATTCTCATGAATCAAAAATAAAGAACGTTATTTTTTACTTTAGTAGCACAAATGCATAAATCCAATTTATATGAACTTGTGCCAGATTTTTTTTCCATAATGTAACCTGTTTTATTTGTATCTAAGATATGTTAGTATCTTTTATCTAAAAATCTCTCAAGAAGATGCACAAAAGAAGTAAAATACTTGCAAATAAATATCCCAAAAGAATAATCAATTAAAAATAACAGGTAAAAATTGTCACCACACAAGCACTCTAAAAGGTGAGATGTATTGTACCTGATCTTTCATGACCCAGTTGTTAAATAAACCACTACAGTTGTTAAGTTAATAACAGTTGTTAAGTGAATCTGGCTTTGACTTTGCTTGTCAGAAGTTTGCAAGCGATGAACTTTTGCCTCAAGCAGATTAGCAATACATTGCAAGAACAGTAGGACAGGTTTTGTTACCTGCTGCCATGTGGACAAGGACACTCTGGTCAGGGCGCAGATTGCCAAAATCAAAGAGAACCATGTAGGCAGTGATGTAATTGACCAGAAAGGCAGCTGCTTCCTCAAAGCTCATACCTTCCGGCATGAGAAAAGTCTGATTGGCTTGAACTGTCACAATTTCTTGCCAGAGACCTGACCGGGCCATAATCATCACCTTATCACCAACCTAGCAAAAAAAAATAAAAAATATTGTGAGAACTAGACACCCAACACAAATTCAGGAGTATGAAAAGCTAAATTTGAAAATAGATCTCAAGCTTTCCACTGCACAGCTCTGGGCAACCTTTATAAATGCAAAGTTTGCCCCAGGTCTCTTATGCTCTTACGGTGAGATTTCTCTGTGAACCAGGATGCCATCCCATTTAAATGTCAGCACAAGAGTCTGCTTCACGTTAGGCCTATGCTTGGCAAATTTTGGAATGATCTTTGGTTAAGTCTATACTGTGTCAATATTGCTGAAGATTAAGAAAAAGCATATAAGGCTCAAGTGAGTAAGTTTTACCTGAGGTTTCTCACCGGAATCTTTTTCAGAATGACTTTAATTCAAGAAATCCACTTTTTCTCCTGAAAACTCCTTGAAAATTTGGTTGTGACAGGGAAAGGATTTGACTCCTCGTGTATTTCCTCAAAAGAAGCAACTGTCTACCCTTAAATGAAATGCTATCTAAAGAGGCATCATAAAATTAGCTGATCATTTTTCCATTAAAAGGTCCTGCTGTATTTTAAACTAGAACCATATGATCAGCTAGTAATATATATTTGAAAAGAAGTCTGCATGTTTTAAATAGATAGATTTAAAACAGTGTTTCTCAACATTGGCAACTTAAAAAATATGTGGACACAACTCCCAGAATTACGCAGCTTAAAACTAATCAAGCATCTAGCTTGAATGCTAGAATAGATAAGTTTTTGCTTCTTGCTCACACTACATTAGAGTGGCAGGGTACAAGGGTTTGTGGAGGTGATCATGCAAACAATACATCTTTCTGGCAGCATTTCCAGATTTCCGCCAGCTCACTGTGACACTCTCCCGTTGAAAGAAAACACCACCATTTCCTCTGCAGAGAGGAAATCCTGTGTTTATTTGGCTCTGGTATCAGGAAAACGAGTAAGACTGAGGCCCTGCATCCTTCACCTTCTCATGAACTGCTGTCTTCAAATAGCAAATTTCACCCTTGACCAAATGAAGAAAAGTTGACTCTGTTTAGTAGCTAGCTATTTACATTTATGAAAGTTACAATGTTCGGAGTTTGTCAGCATTTATTGATGTGAGGCTGTCAACACTAAAGCCCCTGTCAACTCTTGAGATGTTTACTGCAATGCCTCTGCGTTGGCCTGCTGTTGAAGAGCATTGGGAAGCAACAAGCTCAGTGTCAGTGCTCCATGTAACATCTCTACTTCAAGAGTTATGTTTAACCAGGAGCAGTTCCATATGCTGGGTCTGCTAGTTTTTCAATGAAGATGAAGATCTGAGAAGTTGATTTTCCAGGTATGAGTGAATTACAATTCCCTCTGTTTCTCTCTAGATCAGTGAGTTATAATTCAACCTTTGAAGAGCTGCAGACTTCCCACTTTTGGTGTAGAATATTGCTTTGTTTCCAACTGGGTGTGGAAAAAAGTGGTTGGGCCTGCTACATTTATGAAAGGAAAATATATGCTTCCATCATATATATCAATTTGCCTCCAGATAAATTAGAATTACAATTTCCAGAATTTCTAACTATTCTGGTCATTTGGGAATTAAAGTATTTGGAAGGCAGCAACATGAACTATTACTATAGATATGTTTTTTCCTTAAGGTACTGTACAGAGCACTGCTGAAATGGAAAGAAAACACAGTTCGAATGATAGTGTTATTGCTGAAATGACAAGCATTATTTAAAAACCTATTTTTCAGGAACTTCATGAACTTGATTTGTTAAACACAGCAAAGGTAAGGCATTAGGAAAAATGGCCCTCAATCATTATTCAGTTGTGTTTCCTTCTGGTTGATGGGATACTTTTCTACATTTCTTTATTACTGAAGTATGCAGAACAATACCAATATTTCCTTTCCTGTTCATCTATTTCTTTTAAAAGAATTTTAAAAGAGTTTTTCCATTCATTTTAGTGAGAGTTCAAAACACTATTTGCATGATGTTTTTCCCGGGAAGAATACAACTTGTGAAAAGCATTTCCTACTACATAAACATAACTAGTATCTCCCTTATTATTTTTAATTTTAATGTAATTATTTGAGAAGCAATATCTGAATTATTTACTGTAAATACACTAGAAGACTTATGGCTTTTTCCTCTTAACAATTTTCCACTTGCCTTATAAACTTGTAAGTCTGTAATAAAAGCAGATTCAAAAAATGGATTTAGTATGTTTTGGAAGAATTTATCTCTCTAAGAATTCTCAGATATACTAGATTTATTTCAAAACATTTCCAACCTAACTTTAATATAATAAAACAATATCAGTTTCTAGGACTGGTCTTAATAGCCAGATTTCAGACATGAAAAGGAAGAATCAGTAGTTCTGTAAGAACATATTGCTGAAAAAATAAAATATCAAAATTCAGTGTCAAGGACTAATTAGGATAAGAGAAAAATGGATAATCAACAGATGGAGAATGAAACAATGACTGAACATTTGAACAGGTTATTTCTATATTGCAATGTTTTGTTGTAAGGCCTACTTGCAATGTGATTAGTGACTGCAAGCACAAAGAAGACAATAAAACATACACCAGAATGAATCTGTCCACTCTTCTTCCTCTGAAGACAGATTAAGACAATATTCTATACCCTTTAAAAAGGAGGCAGAAATAATTACTAAATGCCAGGGAACTTTGTCTGAGATCTGCCACCTGTTTTCTCAGCATGATGCCCATTTATTCTGTATAGATTTTTTTTTGTCTGTTGTTGAAATAACATTTGTCAGACTTATTAATATTCCAGGTAGTTTAGCTGAGACTTTTCTTCCTTCTGGGAGAATCCGAAATCCAAAATGCAATACATGTATTACAATTGGATTGAATTTCATTTGTTATTGCATATATCCAGATGAGGATTTCTTTGTGCAATTGGCCTTGCCTCAATCATGACATTTTATAGGTGGTCTAGACCAGGGATCCCCAACCTTTTTGACGCCGCGGCCCGGTACCGGCATCAGCTGGGCGCCGCGGCCCGGTACCGGCATCAACTGGGCGCCGCCATCTTTTTTTGATGAAAAAGTGCTTCCGGCGAGCTTTCTACCCGGAAAAGCTCACCGGAAGCACTTTTTTACCAAAACAAGATGGCGGCGCCCAGCAACCAGCGGCCCGGTAAGAGTTGTTCCGCGAACCGGTATCAGTCCGCGGACCGGCGGTTGGGGACCCCTGGTCTAGACAACATGGCCTTATTATGCTTGTCACTTTTTTTACATGTGACCATAACATTTTTCCACCTTTCCTTTAACTATAGAAAAATAATTTAGGATATCTAACATTACCATGTAAAATTCATTTCAAGTAGCCAGAGACTGGTAGTGCTTGGAGACCTTTATCCTAAAGCATGATTTTTAGATACATTCTTACAATATGCTATGTCAGTTTATGGTTTGCCTTGACATATCAGCTAAATCTGTGGAGCCTTTTGAAACCTTAATTTCTTTTGGCCATGATACAGCCTGCATATGATAGCTGCAGCAAATAACCAATAATTACTTCTCTTTCTGGCCTCTAGAAATAAAGGAGAAAAAGTAATAAACTATTTATTAGTGTTTACTTATCTGGCTTCTTTGTGAAAAGGAGCAGCTGGGGTAAATGTTGTCCATTTGGAAAATAAAATGCCCATAAAAGAATTAGCCTTTCCTTGTGGATCATGGCTCCCATATGAATCAGACCATAAACAAGTGTATTTTCTCCATAAATAAAAAAGAAAAATAAAATCTGGCCAGCCACTGCAAAAGTTACCAGGAAGGGAGGATTTGCACATCATTGATGGCCAAGTTTTGCTGTGGCGTCTGGGCTATATAACCTACCTGCAAACTTCAAGCTACAAAAGAGCCAACTAATAGAAAGATGTGTGCAAATACAATTGGTGTGATCAGCTTATGGTTCGGTGCATAGTGCAAGTCCATAAAACTTGGCTAATTGGGAAAACAATGATTAACTATTGTTAGCATTAGCTTGTTCTGCATCTGCAAGCTGTGGCAAAGTCCATTAGTCATTGTTAACACCAAATGTATGTTAGCATTTCTTTCCACAGCTCATAACAACAAATACATTAATGTAATTCTCAAAAGGCTTTGAGCATCCCTAATGTTTGGAAATTGAAACTTGAAAAATTTGACATGCCCTAAATCTGAAATCAATTTCATTGTTGTGTATTATCTAGTTTTTCTAAGGGAAAAATTATTCATACTGAACCTCAAAATTACTGTATATGGTTTGGCTTACCATGTAAAAAATGTTCTGTCTCTGCTCTATTACAGTTCTCTATCATACTTTAAGATGGGTTCTTTTACACACGTCTCTTAAAGACTAAAATATAAGTTCAGCAGTTATGCAATATTAGGGACAGATTATCTGGGATGTAGGTTAACAGAAAAAAATAAGAGAGCTGGAAGGGAACTTTGAGGTCTTCTAGTCTAACTCGCTACTCAAGCAGGAAACGTTACCATTTCAGACAAATGGCTGTCCAGCCTCTTTTTAAAAGCCTTGAATGACAGAGCATCCCCAACATCTGAAGACAAGCTGTTCTACCGGTTAATTGTTCTCACTGTTAGGAAATTTCTCAGTTCTGGTTTGGAACACTCCCTGATTCTTTTCCATCCATTGTTTCTTCTCTTGCCTTCTGGTGCTTTGGAAAATAGATGATCTTTGAATGTTAGAAGTAGGTTATCTATATCTCTTTGCTATCACCTTCCACTCATCTAGAATTTGGCAGCCCATGGCAGCCCTGCACTGGGGACTTGTTCTCACATTCGTTCAACTGCAGCGTGAAGGTAGACCACCAAACATTTTAAAACAATATGTCTACATACCATTGCTTTTGTCTTATCTCATTTCAACTCAGAGATGGGCCTAAATTTATCTTCAGCTACGCGTGCTTTGTATTTTCTTCTGGCACAAGACTATCAGACCATCACCACAGGATGTTGTGGATATGCCAAGACTGTTTTTCCTGAGGTTAATGA